AGGATCGGAACTCAGCTCCAGCAGCCTTAAAGGTAGCCTGGGCACAAGTATCCATTCCAACAAATCCCGACAAACCTTCTTTGACAAAGATGCCCCTAGCAACCGCAAGTGCATGACCAACAAAACTTCGATCTGGCAGAGAGACAATGGCTCCAACCAACAAAGCAAAGTAATCAAGTGCCACAGACGTGCCCCAACACATGCCATCAGGCACAGGATGGCCTCCCAAGAGCCGAGTCTCCGGAGAGAGAAGTCCATGGTTTCCAAGCAGGCTCAGACTTCTCAAGGCAAATTCGACCTCAAGGCGATCCCCCTGAAAAAGTGAGGCAAAACACGGATACAAAGCACCGGGCAAAATGCCTTTCTTTTTGAGAGGTCTTTGTCCAGAGAACCCCAGGCGATCACCCACAATCATTTGCTGAGAAGTGGCTGGGCAAGTCCAATCAGCCAGGGATAAATCCAAGGCACGGGACCCCTGAAAATCAAAACTGGGAAAGGCAAAAGGCAACATGTTACTCTGGGAGCGTTCAATCGTGACCTTAGCTTGGCGGTAAAAAGCCAGTCTCTCCGTGATGGAGCCTCTCAGAACATGCGTGACCCGTGGGATCCTCAAGCAAGCAAGTTGGGACCCCAATGGCAAGCTTTTCGATGGACCGTCGATGTGATACTCATGCATGTTTCGCAGGCGTCGGTCTCCATCCTGTCCATCTCTGTCTCTATCTTTGAAAGCATTGAAGACACGTGAAAAATGGCCTGGAACAAGTGGCTGGGAGCACAAAAACAACAGCCAGCGACTATCCCAAGCCTTTGCAAGCTTAAGGCACTCTAGCGACATTTCGGCAATGAAGTTCGGCATGCGCTCAGGTGAAACAGGCTGGTCACGCAAAGACCAAGAAGATCCTTGACAAGGCAGCCACAATGGACCAGCTAAATAGTCGGCCATATGCCACTGGCCTACACCAATGATCTTGAGGCAACCGACATCAAGGAAATTATAAAGGACAAGCTCTGGGAACTCCTCGGGCAAGTGAGAATCCTTGACAGATAGGGCTATCCACTGCTCGATGTAGCCAGTCTTCAAATCGGAACTGTGCCGTGCAAATGCCTCAAGCTGATACAATGCAGAAGCTAATTTGGGGATGGATCGGCCGGGGCAGATGGAGAACACGACCTGGGCTTCACCACACGCACTCAAAAATGACCTAAGCCGAAAGAAAACAATGAGCTGGCTTTCGTTAGGACATCTCCTGAGCTCATCAGCGATAGGCCACCTTCCAAGGAACAAGAAGTCCAAAACCAGGACCCAGACATTTGGAAGTCTAGCTTTACAGACAGCCATGAAACAACGATGAGATAAGCCAGGGCCACTGCTGCAGAGGCACTCAAAAGAAGGCAGAGGCAGTGGATGGAGTGCGGAACTCGTTTCAACAAAACGAAACTGGGTAGCAAAAGACCGTGACAGAACCCAAGCAAACTTTGTGCGAGTCCTCAAAGTCCAGCGAGGCAGACAGGCAAAACAACGCTGAAACAAAATGGTAGAGCTGAGAGGGTTTGACTCCTGCCCCTCCCTGCCCTCGGATGCATGAATTCCACTTGATGAGCTCCCTACTCCTCTACGTCTGCAGCTGCGGCAGGTGCTCCTTCGGCGGAGCCCTTCCCCTTTTTGCTTGGAGCAGCTTTGGCTTTTGGGGCATCCCCTTGATTTTTCGAAGCGGCAAAAGAATTGGATTTTGGCGCGGCTGTCATCTCCAATCGCTTTGCCGAAATCAAGTCCAATTCTTTTACATAGACCAACGCCACCGTCACCAACTGTGGCGCAGCTGGTGGGCTGAAAACCCTGGCTTTGGAGAGGGTCAATGTATGCAGATGCGTGAAGATCGAAGACGGAGGGTCTTCCTCTGGCGACCCGTCTGAAGGTGCGGTTGGCTGCATTCGGCGGGCCATGACTGTCAAGAATGCATTGAAGACGAAACCCTTGCGCTGAGCTAACTCTGCATGAAGGTTGGCCCTGCCCTGTGCGCCCCTGGTCCCTACTCCAAAAGTGGTGGCCCCCACCCCGGGCATTGGGTCTGAGCTCTGGGATGCTATCTGCGAGACTAATGCGGTAAGGGCTTTGGATTGGGCAAGGACAGCTTGAGCAAGGTGATCGTGAGAGGCTACCTGGGCAGGCCCAGGCTTCTCCTCCTCCAACTCTAAAATCTCTAAGGGCTGGCTCCAAGGTGATCGCAACAGTCCTGGGTCCATAGGCACAGCAGTTCATAGGGAGGTGCCAATGGCTTTGGCAACCCCTGTACTCTGCAGCGACTGAGTTGCTAAGGCCGATGGGGTAGGCTGGCTGAGCATTTTCTGTGGCAGAGCCGGCACCAAGGATTGATCTAGAGCTCTCCTTTTCAACTGTTGCTGTCTCAAGGCAAGCGATTGAACCTGCTGAGTCAGTCCTGCATTTACCTGAATCAACTCCTGGAGAGAGCCAGCAAGCGACGCCATGATTGGTCTCTTTTGGCCAAGTGTAGGCCGCCCTGGCTGATGCACTGCTGGTTTTGCACTTGGCCTTTTGATTCTCTGTGGCCTGGCAGGGGGGCCTGCATTCAAATCTTGGTCGGATGCATGATCTACTGGCAGGTCGCCATCTGACAAAAGCCGTCCACCTATCCCGTCCTCTCCATTGGCTGTTACGTACCCCAGGGCTGCACTGTCGCCTCCTGCTTCTAACCAAGCCTGGATCTTCATCACAAGCTCGGCTGGCGCTGGTGCGGCATAATGCTGCTCTTGGCCGAACTCGGACTGCCACTGGGAATATGGCTGCGGGACCTGCATCTAAGACAAAACTAGTGCTGCAAATTCCACTACCTAAACTGCGACACCTGAACTGGACGGGACTAAGACACAATTGTCGAGGACCTGGCTGGGCACTACAAGATCTGTGGATGGACCGACAAGACCAGGCGGATGGGGTGAGTCTCATACGGCTAGCACTTCTTAGGGCAAAAGTCCAATTAGAACTACTCCTAAAGATCCACCAGGCAGAGTCATCGCAGCAAGGACCACAACCTCTACACTGTCGCCATGTTCGCCGGAAGGTCATTCGAGCACCTAGGGCTCTACGTCTGATTTGAGGGTCACTAAGGAGCCCAAGTTTAGAGGCTAAACATACTCCATCCTTTATTTCAAGGGGCAAAGTCCACTTCCACAGCACCTGCAGCTTCAAGATAGATCTTGGCTTCAATCTCAGAGGGAAAGCTTTGGGAGATGGAATTGCTGGACTCCAGAGACCCAATGCACCTCCAGTAACCGGCACTGGAACGGAAAACGGTGGGCTGATCAAGTCCAGCTGCCCGAAGCACTGCGTAGAACCGTGGCCGCAAGTCAATGGTTGGTGTCCTGTTTGGAGACCCGATCCTATTGCAGCGCACAGCACCAGCCCACTGCCCAGCCAACCAGGCCCGCTCGATCCTCTCTTTTCCTGACAACGACGACCCACAGAGCCGAGCACAGTGAGAAAACAACCTGCCAGGACAAGGGTCAAAAGACCGCAGGATGGAGTCACGAGTTTCACGCTCAGGAACAGTGGTAGGAGGGCCAACAGATTCAGGGGGGCTGGAGACCAACTCAAAAGAACGATCAGAACCAGTAGTACCAGCACCAGGCTCAAAGAGCGAGATATACCCCAGCAATTCAGCAGCTCTGGCAGCAGAGGAAGACGGGCCAGAGACAGAGACCTGAAGGTACCCCGGGAGGGTGATATGCAATTTAACTCCGACGTCGTGATTGGAAGGGGGGATGCTCATGCAGATAAGACGCAAGCAACTGAGCCCGCGGAACAAGGAAGGCTGAAGAGGGCCTGGCAAAATCCAAGTTAGGCCAAGCAGTAAATCCAAGGAACCAGCACACACCACAAAGACAGCTGAGGATCCCGGACAGCCAACCAACCAGCAGGCAACACAGCAGCAGCCCCCACGACGGTTGAGTGCAGTAACTCGGGCAGGCCAATCCCCAAAAGTTACTCCTCGCCCCTTCTACAAGTAAGCCAAGGATAGCTTGAGGGTTCATCAAGGCTTGAGCAGCAAGCCACAAGTTGAGTTCCTGAAATCAGATATATATATATATATACATTATATAGATATATATATATACATTATATATATATATATACATTATATATATATATATATTTAATTAATGGTATGTAATAAGACAATAGGATATGCGGCTATGATGGAATGGGATTTATACATATATATATATATATTTATATGGATTTATAACTTGGTTCACTGGGTTGAAAAAGCGGCATGACTCTGAAAAATGATGGGAAATGATGCATGAGATGATGCGATGGGATGGGATGCGATTGAAGTGATGAGACGAGACCAGATGAGACATGGTAAGACCTGATGAGACGTGATGAGACATGATGAGACATGGTGAGACATGGTGAGACATGAAGAGACCTGGTGAGAGACATGATGAGACATGATGAGACATATGATACATGATGATACATGATGACATGATGAGACATAATGAGACATGAAGAGACATGAAGAGACATGAAGAGACATGATGAGACATGGTCAAACATGATGAGACATGATGAGAAATGATCAGATGAGATGACCCGAGGTGAGATAAAACAAGATAAAATGACATGAGGTGAGATGAGACATGATGAGACACGATGGGAAGAGATATGATGAGATGAGATGAAGTAATTGGAGTGGGTGAGGGGAGGGTGAAGCTAAATGAAATTTCACGCAAATGGATGCTGACCTGCCCCCAGACCCCCAAAGCTACTTTGCTAAAGCAAAACCCAACTCCAGCTAGCTACCGCTAGCTTTCGTGATTAAAAAAAAACATGGGGCACTAAAGCAAAGCCGCAAAACCCATGAGTGATCTCCAAATGCTGAACCACGCTCTAGCATCTCAAGTTCAATTTATGAGTCCAAATTACTTCAAATGATCGATGTCAATTTCAAGAACCCAAAACTGGCAAGTGGAGATTTTCCTCTGTGAAGCATGCTACATGCGAGTGGTCTGAACTGCGATGGTCTGGGAAAATGAGCCATGCAATTCTATAGGATCTGTGGCTTGTGCACTCACCTTCACTATTTCTTTGGAGGCTTCGCCTTTGGCTTCACGGCCTTCCCTTGCTTCTGGATCTCCTGCTTTTTCCTCCACGCGACAGCCACCTTGAAGGAGCGCTCCAGCTCAGCCTCCGAGTGGTCCTTGGGCCTCACCCCGAAATGTCGACAGGCTCCACCAACTCGGCACGTTGCACGCCATCTTTGATTTTGCAGGTGCCACGTCACCCCTGGGTATGGCACCTTGGGGTGGAACACTGGCAACCCAGCATATCTGTTTGCCAGCGCAGGCACAGGCTTCACCTGGAGCTGCAAGCCATGCTTCTCCCGCAGCTCAAGAGCCTTGGCCTCGGCCGCTGCCTTCTCGGTGAAGCAGCCGCCATGAATTCGTTTGCTTTTGTTCGGGGACACCTGCACCTGCCACTTTTTGCGACTCTTTGACCAGCAAACCCCAAGCACTTCGCTGGTGAACTCGGGGTCCTTCAGCTTGGGCTCACTGAGGATGCCCTTCTCGACCAGCTCTGTGCGGAAGGCCATCGCAGCCTCGAGAGCTGCTGCATCAGCCTCAACCTCAGTGCCGCCTGACACCATGAACTTCTTCACACAAAATGCTCGCGAAGTCCACGTGATAAAATTCCCTTTGCAATCAACTTTCGGAAACCAGACTTTCCATCCAAAAGCCTGCGTGCACCACAGAACGCCCCTCGCCCCACTTTGCTTTGCCAGCCTGTATCTCCCAAGCTTAGCTGGCTTCTGCTCCACCGCAAGCAGCAAGGGGTGCTCAGCAGCTGGCATTGCAACTGGGGCTTCTTTGGTCTCTTCGCCTCTTGGCGTCGCCTCCTCATTCTGCACTCCAACAGATTCGAAGACTTCCAGACCTTGCGTCGCATGGCTGCCGTCTGCGGATGAGAGCCGCGGGAGACGATTCGCATCAAAAGCCTTGCTGCGATCAGCCCCAGAAACCGGCAGGTCCCAAAGATCATCCATGTCCATCCACCCAATCTGCGGGCTTTCGAAAGTGATTTCCTGCCGAGCACTGGCTTCATTCTTGACCTTCACGCTATCAGCAATTTCCTTCTTTTCAAGACTTGGCTCTTCTGCCATGCTCTCTTTGTTGCCACAGCCGGCCAGGCGGCGGATGTGATTCTCCATGTCCTCGGTCTGCCTCTTCAACTCTAACCAAAGATCATTCGTCTCCGTCTTTGTCTGACCTTTCCCTGGGCTTTGGGGACCGACCTCACTCTCCACGCTTCTCTCTCCCTTGACCTTCACACCATCGGCAGGCATTGCGAAGCACGTCAGGCGGCGGCGCTTGGCAGCACCGGATGCCTCAAAGGATTCCATGGCTCGGGTTGGAAGATTCAGTTTCCCAGGCTGGGCTGATCGCCTTTCTGTATCGCCTGGGCTGATCTATGCACCCGGGGACCCGGAGCCCAAAATGGAATCGGCAAGACATATGAAAGATGTAGAAAGTGTCGAAAGTGTCGCTGCACTACACCATGGTCCGAGTATCATAAACACCTTGGATCTGAAACAGACTCTGTTTTGAAGCTTTTCTCAGGTCCTGGCGGCTTTCAGGAGGGAAACCTTGGCCTGACGGAGACGACAATCCCACAACACGGCGCCTTTTCGCATACATACTTTGTCAACTACCAAGGGAAATCCCAACAAGTGCTCAGCACAATCCCATCCAAGGGAACTACAACTTAGAAATATACTACTGTAACTGGCTAATGTGATTACTAACTCCAAACTTTAGGTTTTTTTTTGAATGTGTTATTATATATATATAATCCGTATCAATGGTTTGCCATCCCCACGCCTGTCTTGGCGCTTCCAAGCTGGAAACCCCCGGCGGCGGCGCGGTGGCAGGTCGTGTCACCCGGGAGGCCGAAGACCTGCCATTAGTAAAGTGACGGGTGAATCTTTGATGATTAGTATAACTATTTGTATGTATAACTACTGTATGTATAATGTGTATATGTATATTTCATTCATTCATTCCTCACGCTGCTCGGGTTCGAGCTGAGCGTTGCCCAGCTTAGACGGCCTACGCATACATATATATATATATATATACATATGTGTATATATGTATATATATACATATATATATACATATATATATACATATATATATATATATATGTGTGTTCAAATTCATGACAAATAAATGGAACTACTATATACGAAAGCAAGGCTTACCTAGAACTGGTGGAATTCATCACCAAAAAACTTGCACAAAGCCACGAAAAAAATCTAAGAAACTGATCCTGGTCTCCTGGTCCAACCCATAAACATGGTGATCCAAATCAACAAAAAGCTATGGGTTGGGATTGTGATTTAAGTAGTCCAATGAACCGATAATGTGGAACTCACAGCTGATTCGACCAAACAATCGTGGCCTGGCAGCTGCGGCCCATGGTATCGGCTCTCCAATGCTGGACATTACCTGACAGCGCTCGAGGACAGCGCCGAGGACACATATGGGGCCACAGAACTAAAAGAAGATACACCAGATTTAATAATACTAATAAAGAATAAATACTAGTAATAATTAGTAGTGATAATGATAAAATATTAGTAATAGTAACAATACTGGTAATAGCAATAGTAATAGCAACACTGACAGTAACAGTAACAATAAGGTTTCAACACAGCTGACCTGGCCTCCAAAAAAGGGAACCGGCAGCAGGGTAGCTAAAGAAGTGGAGTGTCAGAAGTTCTCAAGTTCTTGGCTGCAGCTGTCGTCTTATAGGATTGCAAGCTCAAAGCTCTAGGCATTGCTTGGTTTCAAAGTTCTTTCATACTTGGGTGGCAAAAATGTCTGTGCATTAGTGGACGCTATGTGTGTAGTCACAAGGTCGTAAGAGTTCGGAACATAATCCAAAATGTCACTTGCTTTGCGGGGCTTCCTAGTCACGCCGCCAAAACGACCTGCGGGACCCGCCGCGAAGCAACTGTTTGAGCCGGATACAGATTGCAGTTGTCGGAACACAAAATGCACTTTCAGTTTCGAAATTGGTGAAATGGTACCATGCAGCAGCTACATGTCACTGTTGGTCCGTGTGAGACATCACAACTTTTACTTGCATTTCTTTAGACACTTGGCTTTGTCTGAAAATAGTGTACCCCTACACCCAATGGTTCATGATCATTATCCCTACTTTTTATGGCCATAATTGAGGCTATACCCCATTTTCAGACATACCCACAATAGTAGTTCCCACAGTAGTTGCGGTTGGAGCCAGGATTACAGTCAATCCAGGGTCCCCTTTCTGATCCGAGCTATGCACGGCCTGTCTGTCCTTCTCTGAGTGCCTTCAACTTTCGTCGCCCCTGGCGCAACTGAAACTGGGTCAACCACGCGTATTACGCGGGTATTCTTGACTAACCACCCAGTTACGCGGGCAACAACTGACTGAATCGTTGTGACCTCCTATCATAGGAATGCTGTGTTTAAACCAAACAATGCTGCCGAAATTTGAGTGACGGTTCCAGCTTTTCAATTCCTCAAGCAAAACCATTGTGGCAACGCCATGGATGAGGTTTCCATCAAGCACAGCATTCGCATGTTTTCTACCGCCACAGGCGATGAATTGGTCGGTGAGGACTTCAGCGCACCGGGCACCGTCGAATTTCCGTCGCGGTATGTGTGTATGAATTGTACGATATCATGTATATTTACAAAATGATAGTATGTCATATACATACATGTTATGAACATTAATGTCATAAAAAAAAAAAGCTGCATTGTATGTATGTATGTATGTATGTATGTATGTATGTATGTATGTATGTATGTATGTATGTATGTATGTATGTATGTATGTATGTATGTATGTATGTATGTATGTATGTATGTATGTATGTATGTATGTATGTATGTATGTATGTATGTATGTTGTAATGTATGTATGTATGTATGTATGTATGTATGTATGTATGTATGTATGTATGTATGTATGTATGTATGTATGTATGTATGTATGTATGTATGTATGTATGTATGTATGTATGTATGTATGGTATGTATGTCTGTCTGTCTGTCTGTCTGTATGTATGTATGTATGTAAGTATGTATGTATGTATGTAAGTATGTATGTATGAATGTATGTATGTATGTATGTGTACATATATATATGTGTGTCTCCACGTCCATTTGGCTTGTGGATCAGAGGCATAGCTTGGCTACGATCAGGTGCCATGTAGCTCAAGGTGCGACGGGGTAATGTGTCTGGCAGTAGTCACCAGTGGCACTCAGAGCATTGCTTGCAGCGTGTTGATCCTTTAAGAGCTGCCTACAATGGCAAAACAGGGAAAAGGGTAAATTAAATTGCCAACTGTAATTTTGCTTTTGTTTACCTTGTCGATACTGTAAACTTTGGTTCACTTGGACCTGCTGATAAGTCGTTGAATTCTTCCCTCCGAAAGCAAGGTTCTGACAGTGAAGAAAAATGCCTTGCATATGAGCTTTTGACAGTAACAGTTTCTTGGACTTATCTTGACGATGACACTGGCAAAAAGAACCACTGCCAGGCATTCAAAGCTTGCGGCCGCTGCAACTTGCTGAGTTCAGCATTCCGGCTGCCCTCAGCATCTGGGGTCAGGGAACGAGGGCAGGTGGCCCATCGTCCCCATCCTTTCCCCGTGCGACCGCGTATTTTGTTTCGTCGTGGCTTCAGCTTTCAGCTGACAACTCTGCGCCGTGGTGCGGAAAATGTTAGCTCTGGAGATGTTCATGTCAAAAATGGCCGCCCCCAAACTCGCACCATCAGTTTCCATGCTGTCATCTGCCTATGTCTGTGGCTTATTTGTTGTGGGGGACCAATTTTTTAGGACGTACCCACATGACAACTTGGTTGTTGCATTTCTCATGATCACCTCCAAGAGGGTTTCCATCATCTTCAGCATTTCATGCAGCAGCTCCCTCTTCCACAACGAGGTCTGCACAGGTTGAATTCACTTTGCTCACAAATCCTAAGAAGCAAACACAGGTGTGAAAGGATTTCAACTGGACCCTACTCACAAAACCAGTCTTGGGAGATCTCAGCAGCTGGCCAGGAGACTTACCCCTCTTCACACTTGCCTGCCAGCCAAGCTAAGCAGATGCGCAGGTCCAGTGGCTAAACCAAGGCAACTCCAACAGATTTGGCACATGTTCTGTGACCAAGTTCTGGGAGCATGAAGCTATACATCCAAATGTGGTAGGCCACAAAAGTATGAACCAACACAAAAAAATGGTCTAGTACAAAATACCAGAAATATATCTAGAAATACCTAAGATAAATGACCCAAACAATGTGGAACCCCAATTGTTGAGCAAGTTGCATGTACTTCGGGGCTCGCTTCTCGATGTCCTCCACAGATCCTGATGAAAAATCTTGGAGAATCGGCTGATGAATGTTTGATGTATATAGGTTTCTCTAAAAATAGGCGACCTCCAAATTGATGGTTGATCAGAGTTGATCATGATATTTCCCTGAAAAAAATTGACGAATTTTGGGGTAGCCCTCATTTTCTAAGCCACACCCATGTAGTCAAAACAAATCAGGATGAGAAGGATGGGACCTCCCGTCATATTTCTGTTAGAATCCAGTGAAAATCCAGACTGCGTGCCAATAAGGACAGTTGAGGCCCAGACCGAATAATGCCTTGGCAATGTCTTGGGTGCACAGCTGGTGGGACAGATCAATCTGACATGAACATATCGATCTATCTGTGTATATATTATAAACTTGTATACATATCATAGCATTTTAATTCTTTAGCTCATTGGTCGTGTGATTCCTTGCGGTCACGTTCCACTCCTCTGTTGAATGATTCAACGAAATGACCACGACCTGCTGTGGCTTTGCGAACTTTTCGTTTCAATGGTGTTGCGCGGCTCGTCGAATTTGGATGGTCAGGTGGGCCAAATTTGAGCAGTTCCCCTCTCAACAGAAAGTCACTCACATCAGTTTCAAAAATGCTGTGCATCAAACCAGAACCTCATTTCATAGCGAAGCTGCTGTGAAGTCCATGCCAAGATGCATGTCTGTTCCATTCTGTTCTTACGCCGAATGAATCCAAATTTCCCTTCTCTTAAATGGACCTCTAAAAATCACTGGGTGAGGTCAATGACCATCGTGGCTTTTAAGATGCGCTACAAAATCGAAGTCTATATCATACCAGCAAGTATGCTCGGATGAGTGAACAGCCACAAGGTTCTTCAACTCGACCTATCAACTTGACCTTTGCGCAGTGGATCCTTCAGAACTCAACCAAGGCATCCCCATATGATGCGGTCGAGTTTCAAAAATGGCAGATGAAACCTGGGAGATGAAATCGCAGGGAAAAGGATCAATCACTCGATTTGAGCTACTGTAGCACTGTAGCCTATCTTTGGACAAAGCCACTTTGGAAAGGCGCCTTCATTTCAACTTGGGATGGCCTTCTTGAAGATTTCAAGAGTTTTCAAGCCCAACTGCCACAGGGGGCCACAGGGGGTGTAAACTTCAAGTACAGTAAGCCCTTTGCAGGTCAGAAACGTCGCCGAGGCAAGAGTTTATACCATGACCGTTCCGTGAAGTGTGTGAATCATTTGAAGCAGTCCACCCTTTGGTGAATCACATCAGTTTTTGGCATCTACACTACATATTCCCTCACTAACACCCTAGCCTCAATCTCCACCTCCTAACTACCCCACCCTCTTTCATCTGCAGAGTTGCTGTGCTTCGAAACCCTACCTTTCAAAAACCCTACCTTTCTGTACATCCGAAACAAAAACTAGTCCACAATATGCTATAAGTCACAACTCTTCACCCTACAGCAGTCCTTCCCAGCACCTCATACCGCCCAGGGGCTATCAAACATGCAGCGATGATGCCCCACACCAACGACCAAAGTCCGGTGCTCTCCAACAGCAGCGCCACCAAAGCTGGCCCAGCTGCACCGGGCAAGGTGGCCTCTGGGCATGGTCGATGCCCATGGTGGATATCTTAATGCCTGGGCATCTTCAAGCAAAATTTGGGGCTGCAAATTATATAAGTCAACCAGAAATCCTGAGAGAATTTGTTGGGCCATGTTGGGCCCCATTTCTGGGTGGTTGGATGGTCAGTGTCTTTCCCAAACCCCCCCGAATGCCCTGTTTGTTCCGGGACTCCCTACGATGCCATTGCCGAGGCTGACGACGGCAGCCGCATTTTGCGGGGCCAAATCCAAATAGACAGCATTTTGCGCTGTGTCCAAGATGCCTATCGACCTCGGTTTAACAATAACGCAAGGATTCCAACAAAAGCTTTTGCAACTTCAAGTACATACATCGGCGCAATGTTTGGGTCCAACCTTACAAAGGATTCCTCCCGTTGCCCCGTTGCCCTCCTTTGGCATAGGCACACGGAGCAACAATTCCTCTGAAAATTTGAAGCTGAAGCTAAACTTCAAAGCTGTGCCTCCCCACATTGCTGCTGCAATCATTGCAAGGCTCGCTGCTGGGACGCTGTGCAAGTTCCCAAAGCATACCTGCGCCAAAAGGATGCCACTTTCGTCAGGTTCACTTCGCAAAGTTCCAAGGTCTCCTGCTACTTTCTATATAGATATATTGACAAACCAGCCATAAACCACATCCCCAACCCATCTCAGCGGATTGCGAAAGATTTTTTAGTCGTCCAAGCTGCCAAGGAGAGCCCTGCGCCAGCAGCTGCAGGGAACAGAATCCTGCGCCAAGCCGAGTTTGCTGGGAGTATCCCTGATCCAAGCCAGAATGTGTATGTGTCCGTGATTATCTACGTATACGTTAGGTGCGCGTACGTCAAACAAAACAAAAGAAGCTTGGCAACCGGAGAAAAAAAAAAGGAAAGTGGAAACGTACCTCAGGACATTTCGAAACATCCATCTCGGACTGACATCCATTTCGTGGTTCCTGTACCCTTCCTACATATGTAATGTATGTGTATATGTATATATATATATACAGTATATATATATAAATATGTATATATATATTTATATATATACATAATCATATCATCATACCCGATCAGGATCACCATTCCCACCGTGCCCGTGCAACGATCCCTCTTCGCATTTGCAGCAACGGGCAGCGACGGCTTTGAAGCCAATCGGTGCAAACACCTCCTGTGATGGCTCCAATACCTGGCGACAGCTGTGGATGGTTTATCCAAAAATAGGAGGAGTTTACTCGCATTTTTTTTGCAATTCGACACTGGAGAAAATGATGACAACCATCCGATGTTCAAACTCAACCTCGAATTTCTCAGCACATGTTGCTACGAAGCAACGGACCGGGCAGTTCCAAGCAGTGCCAGCTGTACCAGAAAAGGCTGCGGGCAGCATGAGATAGAGCCCCACACTTTCCAAAGGCAGCTCCAAAACCTGCCCGGTGAATCTTTGGTCACCGATCCCAAGCAGCATGAAATCACCTGGAAAACCCTGGGATGATTCGTAGGATATGTTTGATAGTTTGATAGTTTGGGGTCCCAAAAAACAAAAGTTATACAGTTTATATACAGTTTATACTGTTCTATTGTTATATATTGTTGTACTTTATACTATAACTGTTATACTTAAGTTGATTGGATTCTCGATTCCCCTTCCAGGCTATGCAGAACGTGCCAAGATGCTTCGGTGAAATACGAGGGACCCCAGGACCTTGGAAGCTTCGCTGGAACTGGATATCTGCAGCAACTGCAAAGGTAGGCTCAGAGATTCAGTTTTGAGTTTCACTTGAAGTCACATCTTGGATACTTGGGAGGGTCAACTTCCAAGTCCTCTCAAAAGTGTTCATCAGTTCAAAGTCGCTTCTTGTGGAGGACAGTTCCAAGTCCATCCTCGTTTCACACAGCTCCAAGAGTTGGATTCGGAGTGCGGCAGGTGAGGCTCTGGCATAATGGTGTACATGGCAAAGTTGTTGCTACCTGTGTCAAATGGCGTTGAAATAAGCTCCAACTTCCGGATCCCAAAAAAAAAAATGTGGATGCTTGAATGATGTTGAATGCTCGAAAGTTTCGAAAGGAAATGCCACAATCTGCACACTTGGGGACTTGGGGAGTCGAGAAATTTGACCTATCTCCAAAGTCAGCCCTTGGAACGGCTTCTGCCTTTGGCCAACTTGGCCCAGCACACAACTTCCAGGATTAAGACTTTGCTGTGGATTCAAAGACAAGACAGGGCCCTGCTCGCTCATCAAAGGCACAATGCACAGCCAACAAGGCTAGGAAACCCGGGTGCTTCAACCTCAGCATCGGATGCAGGATGCCATAGGGCAAACACCAACACCTCCTCCCAACTTGAATCCTTGCTGCCAAAGGTACGCCCACAATGGCAACAACGAGTCTGCTTTTGCGGTGCCGCCTCTTTGATTGTCGCATCACAGTTGCAAGGTTAAACGACGTGCGCTCCTATCCTACCAAAATGAAGACCTCCATACAACTTTTTCCATGTCACTCTTGTCCTCACAAAATGGATGTGTAAAAAGGCATTCACATATCGGAGACCTGATTTGTTCTCCATTCATAGGGGGGTTCCTGTAAATTCTCCCTTCGGCTTCTGAGAATATGGGACTCTGCTCTGTCAGGCCTGTTGCCACTACAACCTCGCCAGTATTGTCCAAGGCATCCTCAGACCACCATCCAGTGGAAAGAACTTGGCTTCGACTGTACCATCTGTACCTATGATTCTCCGGTTCATTTCTTTCAGCATCAGTTGATCCTGGCCTGTTCAAAAAAAGAACTCATGCGGAGTTTCATCGTTTGGAGTCATCCAGCTCACATCCCACAGAATTGTGCTCGGGGAGCCTCCCACATCTTTCGGGCGATCTCCATGCCAGCTTCTCGAGACTTGGTCATGGCAAATCCCAGCCAAAGGAATGCAAGCCTTGGTGTTTAAGAGCAACATCTGTCTTCAGAAAATCCTGCATTCATTTCGTCGGAGTGGGAACTCACGTGGGTGAAAACGGGGAGCCAGAAAACACTGGGTTCGTAGTGTTTCAAATTAAATGCACATAGGTCTATGTAGGTCTACTACGTCCTGAAATGTTGACTCAGTACGTAGAACTTCATCCGAGATGCAACAAGCTCACAGTCCCGAAAATGGCGAAACTGGCCCGCCATCCGGCCTCGCAGGGAAGAAATGAAGCTGAAGCCAACTTGATCACTTTGAACAGCAAACAAAGCAGAAAGAGTTTAACCGTTTAACCCAATAAGCAAAAGCCCATCAAAGGATAAGTCAAATAAACCACCAGTTCGAAGCTAGAAGCCAGTGACTATCTGTTGGCCCAGCCCAAATGCCTGAGAGCAAATCAATGGCGCCAAGACAGATGCTACGATTTGACCAAATCGCATCGAAAGCGCTCTGGCAGCCAGCGAGCATCCTCGTTCTGATGCCTCAAGTTGAGGTCCACATGGCATTCCAGCATCAGCTACAACTTCAACAGCTTGCCTGCTGACAACCGAGCCAAACTGGAGAATTCTACGGCCTTACATGGCACTACCCTCCCTTGATTGTTGATTCATCCACCCAACTTGCCCTAGCCGCAGCATGCCGCAGCCGCAGCCTGCCAGGTGTGCCAAGGTACAGGAACATATGCCGACAATAGTTGCATCGTCGTGGGCATCAGGGGCGATGCCGCCACCCCAAGCAGGATCAAAAGTAGCCACGTATGCCCAAATCCGAAGTCTGCGACCATCCTCACGGAGCCACGAATGATCCACGAATGATCCATGGGATTCATCCGATGGTCGGCTCCATGTTCTCAAACAGGGATGGGTCAAAACCTGGAACCACTAGCTTGACTGATCATCTGCTAATTTGGGTGGACAGCACATGCTTGATCACTAAGCCAGTAACCACCAGGGTACCAGGGTACCAGGGTACCAGGATCATGCCTTCCCAGTCAGTGTTGGTGCAGCAGAGTGGCGGCATAGCGATGGCCAAAGCGCTCCAGGAAATGGCAGCAAAGGCTAAGACCATGCCAGCACCCAGCCGGGCAGATACAGCACCTGGACACAGCCGTGACAACGGTAAGGGGCGCCCAAGCGGTCACTTGGAATTCCTGGAACTGATCAAACTTTGGGTTTCCACAATCTCGGTTTACCCCTGTGCCCTGGTGAACACCATGGTCAATAGGTGGAAATAATATGTTCATCACCCAAAATGTGGTAGTACTTTTTCATCCGTCCCCATTTCACCCTGGTGCCCATTCGCCCAAACAAGCCTGGCCTGCGAACAAATTCCCTGCGAGATAGCCCCAGAAGAAGGCACCCAGCAACTTTCCCTGGCGCTTGAAGCGTTTGAAAGAGGGTTGGCACTTCAGTGTCCATCATGAAAAGCATCCATACCATGAAAACAGAAAAATATCACGCTACATCCTGTAGAAACAAGGAGGCTTAACAATTTTGACCTGTTTTGTAGTTCCTGCGGTGTGCTCATGATTGCAGAACTGACCGATCAGGGAGTGCACATGAGTCGAGCCTTCAACTGCATGTCCCAATTGTACTCTTGAACCATCAGTACCTCAGACATCCTGGCAGAGAAACTCTGCCGCAACCATCCGTTGCTCCTATCTTCAATCTTGTTAGCGCATAGCTTGTTGCCAGTAAAAGCCCAGCAACCAATCTTGCACAATGGCAGGTGACCAATGATTTCCAAAGATGTTCAAAAAAGCCCTTGCTGCAGGCCACCTCAAATCCTTTCTCAAAGCTACTTTTTATGCGAGGATAAGAAATGTAATTGCTCCAAGACAACCTCCCAGCCTCCATCCCTTTACTAAAATCACTACCAAGTTCAAATTCTTTCATTGAAAATTGACATTCTACCCAATGATTAGCTATTATTTCTGGGTCTCTTTTCCAACAACTCCGTCGCCCATGCTTCGACCAGGCACAGCACATGTCCCTGGCCGCAATCCAGGATGGCGGGGAACCCCACAGCTATCCGGCTATCCACCATCTACCCCGCAGATACCTCTGCTAATTTAAAATCTCTATAGAAAATCACCATTTTTGAAAAGGGCTTGTCATTCCATAGCTATGTCAAACTACCAAATGGTACATCAACCCAATTCAGTGCCATGCAACAATGAGAAGCACTTCTACTGACAGCCATGACATCAAGTTGAAAGTGCGACTCAAGACCCATCGGAGATGCGGCCTAGACAAGTCCGAAGCAAATAGTTCGAGATGCACACTCCTGCCTCAGATTTTGCCCTCCGGTTTTTTTGACATAGCTATGGAAAATTGCCCATTTATAGGTGATTGGCCTAGTAAAAAGTGTGGTTTCCCATAGCTATGTCAAATTACATGGGGTACAGTATAAGCTCCTGAATCCAAGCAGATTGTGCACAGAAACCACTTGCCGGGGACTTCAAGAAGAACGCTTCCCGCACTAAACCCATCCATTTTTTGGCTGGTTCGTCCAACAAGGATCAGCTTTGCCATGAGCATCAGACCCAAAATCCCATTCCAACGAAAATCCAAGACCAGCAAACCAAAACCGACAGCAGATTTTCAGACCTTGATGAACTGACGCATGGATGGCAAATACTCTGCTCCACCCTTAGAATCCCTTAGATTCCTTGAACCTCGTTCCCCCCGCAGCAATTTGCCCAGGTTCCATCAGAATCTGCATTCTGACTCTGGGCACTAGAAGCAGCCAGTGGCTATAGAGGTTGGTCACCTGTTCCGAGACCACAACGTCAAAACCGACAACTTGTAAGAATAGTCAATAAAAGTGGAAATGACAGCTACGAACACCACATAGGATACCAATGAGATATATACAATCAGCACTTGAAGCTGGGGCAAGAATCTTCTTGAAAAGTGCGCGCTTGACTTCGAGAGTCACCACAACAGGAAACAACCAGCGGAATGGACAAATCCGTGGCAGTAGCGCGCACGGATGTGGGTTTATCTGAAAATGAGGTACCTCAAAATGGTTTATCTTCATTTTCCCCGTTAAATTTCCTTCAAATAGCCATTTCGGGCGGTTGACATACCATGACATGCCCACGTGGCTGTCACTGTTTCCACCTTGCACATGCCATTGTTTTTTTGCGTCTTGGGCATCTCCCAACCTCACAACAACAAAAGTTCAGCGGATGTGTAGTGGGGTCTATCAAGACAACTCAAAAGCAGAACGAAGTATGAGAGTGAACATCTTTTAAAGGCCAAAGCACAAAGCACACTGTTCTGGCATGTCCCCCCGCCCCCCGCCTATGTTTGTTGTGTTTCCTTTTTGACCCATAACTCACCCCACAGGTCACTATTGGCTGCAGCCACACAGTGGCTTGGCTCTGAGCTTTGCACTGGCTTCAAACGACAGCATCGCGTCAGCAGCCATTTAGGCACTGCAAATGCATGGCCGTTTGGGCCGCGAAGATCTTCAATTCGAAGTCTCGTTGTCATGGGGTGTCTGTCTGAGTGTCTGTCTGTTTTTTCTTGTTTTTGTATGTTTTTGTTTGTTTTCATTGGCGTGTTAATGTTGCACGGGCCTGTCTATGCAGCCCTTACCCGTGCGGATTTACATCTTGGAGTCTTTTCATGGGCGCCACGACAGCTTGGTATTTCCAGCTGAGCTCAACGGTTGAACGAAGGCCATAGTTGCTGTCCAATCACAGTGTTTTCTTTTGGTTCTGTCCATGCACCTCCGATGTTTGTAGTGGCTGCCGGGCCAAAAGCAACGAGTTAGTGACGTAACAAATAGGTTTCAGAAACAGCTTCCTACCACCTTTGCTGCGCTCCGCATCAAGAGATGAAGAAGATCATGAGAGCCAGTGGAGATGTTTTAGATGTCTCTGCAACTGGCACATGTTCCACAGCTTAGATGCTTGAGCTCAATCTGGACAGTGTCTTCTTTACTAGTCAATGCAGCACATAGATTCCACATCTCCAGCTGAATCTGCTTTTGGAGCCAGCCAGACTCAGCTCCGGTGCCTGTGGCCCTACTTTGGAATTGGTCTGGAATTGCTCGATGAGGTTCATGTCCTTGAACTTCTCAGAGAGATCCTCCCATTCCGCCTGGACTAGGACGGAGGAATTTGCCAGCAATGTGGATATTACACCATATTACGGTACATGATATTACGGTCATCCATCCTGTTGAACCATCCTTAAATAAGCTGGCCAAATCGATGATCGATTCAGATGCGTCCATTTCCGCCAAACTGTGCATCCAGAATGACACAGAGAACAGCAGTCCCAAATCGCATCAGGATTTAACTCTCAAATCATAGACACCTGCATCAATACACCAATCATAGGGTCATAGAATTCGCTGCATCCCTGTCAAAAGCGTGTTGTCACCACTCGCCTGTGTCATGACCTTCCCCGAGTAGTTCATCTTGACATCCTGCAGTAGTGCAACATCTAAAATAGAGGGAGCTTGTTTAATGTCAACCCCGGATTAATAAACCATACTTTATAAACTAGGGGGTAATCGCCCCAATAGTCATAGTCATAATGTGATACTTAAATGGTACCCCCCGATTAAACAGCCTAAGGTTATTAATCCAGAGTTGACCTTACCTGTGTGCGTAACACATACCGTAGCGTCTTCCAACGGTCGAAACCGGTGTAAAAATTTGGCCCAGCCATGTCTGCACTACCCACCTCGAGCCGGCCACTTGGGTTGCTGCCTTCAGTCTTGGGAGCTGTAGCAGCTGGTTGTTTGCGAGCCTAAGGATATCTAAGGATCAGGTCAAGGCTTGATACCAGCAACTTGTGGAACTGCCCATCCCTTCCAACTGATTTTGACATTTGCAATATGAACTCAGGCAGTTGGAGGTACCATCTTGGACCATGGCATGTATATATCTACAAGCAAGTACAGTTGGAAGTCCTTCTGAAAGGCGAAGTTGTTCATCATTGGGGGCATAACTTGCTTGATGCATGGAGAGGCTTCCAACATCCTTGACAAATCATGTTGACTCTTGGTTGATTTACACAAAAACTGACCCACTCGGCAAATATGCTGATAGGGGCCTCAGCTGGCAGGTGTGCATTTCATCAACCTGACATCCCAAGTCTTGGGCACCTGGCGCCGGAAGCCTGCACAACAGCAACGGAGAACCATTGTGTCCACGCCACAGACTGGATTTTCAGTAGATTCATTTTTGAGATCCACTCAAATCAAGAAACTCCCTCAAAATCCTTCCTTTCCAACCCCCAATCATCAAAAAAAATAAAAAAACAAAATCCATCCCAACTCCCATCCCCTACTATTTCCCGCCTCCTGTTTGGCCATCTCCAGGTTCGCCTTGGCCGCGGCCAACTCGGCCCTGGCCTTAGCCACGACGTCGCCGTCGCTGGCCGCGGCGGCCGCCCGCTGCGCGCGCTCCGCGGCCTCCTTCAGCGCCGCGGCGTCGGCCGCCGCAGCGGCGGCCTCCACAGCCGCGGCGGCCTCGGTCGCCTCCTGGGCGGAGCGCACCGCCTTCATGGCCGCCTGGGAAAGCCACAGAGTTCAGGATTTCACCAGGACAAGAATTCGTGATGACAATAAATGATAATGAATCTATATATGATATGTATATAATCATATGATAATATACAGTTTACAAAGATATATATATATATATACGTATGTATACTTGAGGCCCAAGGGGGGGTGAACGAAAGCTAAGGTTCATATGGATTTGAGCCCGTGACCATCTGCTTCCAACACCGCTTCAAAATGCCCCGGGAGCTTGGGGGGTTCAAGTGAAAAATCAGTGTGTTGGACTCAGACCTGCCCCTCCTTGCTGAAGCAAGAGTAACTCCAGCTAGCTACCGCTAGCTTTCGTCATATAATGTGTGATCATATATCATCCGTATATCTGATAGTATGTGAAAGAATTTAAGATCCAACAAGAATATACTACAATTCATGTATGTGGGTTTTATTTAAGTTCTTTCATCCGGACGGCCATTCTGTGCGAAATAACATTGCTTTCGCGAAACTTACCTCCCTTTTGTGAAGACGCAATCACTACCTGCCGGATTGTCATAGATTACTTCATGATAGCCTTGTAGCCTTGTAAACGCGCAGCGGGCATCACAGAATCCCTTCTCATGACCAATAATTTCTTATACAGTATATATTGGGTTTATATTTGCAAGACATACTGGGCCATCCCCAAAGTGCACTTTGCTGAGGCAATCATATGTCTAGTGGGAAAGATCGTCGCACCCGGATGGTTCTTCTCAGGCAGCACAGCCACACACTAATCGATTTTAAGCGGCCAACCTCATCCCGCTCCGCCTCCTCTCTAAGAGCCTGTCCAAACATTGAAAGCAAATGGGAACCTATCTTCGTCATACACTGAAAATACAAGATACGAATAGATACGAGAATAGTGCAAAATAGTTTTAAGCCTCCTGCGTCCTATGTCAAACCCAAACTGAAGTCATTGCCAAAGCTGGGCGATGTTGAGAGACCCACAATGGCCTTTGCTTGGGCAAGAAGGGCTGCAACCTTCGCTTCACAGCCACAGCTGGTGCAGGAGAAAGAACATCCCTGGAAATAGTTCGATGGTAATCTTCGAGTGACTGAACCTTTGAAACAACACTGAACACAGTGCCCCGGGAGGGGCTGTCTGTGCACCTCATCATCCCCTGCATGCCGTACAAGCCGCAGGCGAGGCTGTCTGGCACAAGGCCCAACAAAGGACGGCACCTGCGAGTGGCAATGTGGACAAGTGTTAATGCGAATGTACCGACTTCTGCATCGGCTTCCTGTTAGGAGAAACACTGGCTTTTTGCATACATGTGTCTGAGCATAATAAGTCACTACAGTACTGGGAGCACCTTTTCGTCTGCATAGCCAGGTGTTCGTGCACTGACTTTCATTGGGGCACAACATGACCATGACACACCCAGAATCATTCCAGACTCTCCGACAGCATTTGAATCCACATCCTGGAAACGGTCTGATGCCTTGTTCAGGGCAACTCCGCACAAAAGGAGACCTCATGCAAATCATTTGCTCATCTGGCATCTCCACACAACGACTTCTTTGGGAGCCCCTCGAAAAATGACGCGATGACCCGCGAGTGCCCAAACTGCAGCACTCAGGCAGTGGCTGGCAGTGAAAAGGCCAATATTTCCGCCTCTTCCTGCTGAATCCGACATCTGCACCCAATGCAAATCTCCCCAAACCAATGCTGTTGATAGATTCTGCAGAGATGTCTCCCCAGCGATCCTGACCAAGCAAAACTAGTGTTTACAAACAAAGGGAACCTAAAGGAACCAATTATATTGCTGAAAGAGTGAAAGAACCAGGAAAATGTTCACCTCAGCCTCGACTCAGTGTGTCCAACTGAGACACGGATGCACAGCAAACTTGCAAATTCCGCCTCGGTGTTTTCGCAAAGCCATTGCAGTGCTACAATGGCACTGTCGGTCAAGAGTCGATCGTCCCAATTTGAATTACAACATCCTTTGGAATTCTGAAGCATAATTTAACATGGTCGTTCATATTTGTGTTTTGTACGGTCTTGCTGTATAAGGGAGCCAGCAACTCATGTTTTCGCACGGTGTCCTTCAACCTGATTCAATATGTGGAACGGCATTATCCAAGAAGAAGTCAACTTCTACTAGGTGGTGCTATTTGGTTTCCGAACGAGTCACTTCCTGAAAACAGAAAGCACCAAATACTGGAAATTGAAGCAGAACTTTGTACGTGGTTTGAGCTGTCAGAGAAATGTCAACACCCAATTTGTGAGCCAGAAGTGCCAGCAGTATACAAAGTCGTGGGTCATGTCTATATATCTTTGACTGCTTTCCTCAAATATAGCGCGATCAAAGCTTAACCATGACAAGCCAGCCACAACCACTTCACAGCTTAGCATCTTTAATTGCATATCTTTGTTCCTACCAGTCCCCTCATCGGAATGTCATTGTTTCAATTACTGCGGTAAACTACCCAATATCCAATAATAACCTACCATTTGGGGATAGTCTACCACCCATTCATGTGATTTTCAGGATGTTTTTATTCTTCGGGTGTACCACATTTTTATCGAAGCCAGTGGGCCCCTTTTTTCGAGCTCCGTTGCTTGGCAAGAGCAGCTCCACCGTGCTAGGCACGAATTAGGGGCCTGCACTAGACTCCAAGGTCAGCTGCCGATCATCAAATCACCTATCATTCAACTACCAAGAAAATGTTCCTGCAACTGATGTGATCAAACTGGTAACTACATTGTGGAAATCTGTAAACCAGATTCGCAATCAAATACTCTTACATTTGTCTAGTCCACCGTTCTAATGACAAAGCACTTGAGTATGTTCGGCTTCAAAAAATAATCCAGAAAATTCAAGGGACACTCGAGCTCTGGGCCTCTGGTTGATGACTCCAAGAAAAACGATCCACTCAGTTGCTAGAAACCCACCGGGCACTTCACTTAGCTGTTGAATCTGTTGAATAGGGGACTCAACGCGTCTCGGTCTCGGTCTGATAAGCAGCCTGCTACAGCCACCACACCTGAGAGTGTGTGACCAATACTCTAGACATTGCACTGCTTCGACTTCGCTGCGCTCACTCCTCATCACTGAAGATCCCAGTGCGTTGCATCCGCACTGCATGGGCCTACCAACCACCCACCACCTGGCAAAACCTCTCCATTTTCCTTCCCTTCCAATCCTCCCATTCCCTCTGGGATGAAAATAATAAAGCACAATGACTGCAATAAGTGTGGCGGTACAAGTGTAGAACTCCGAAAGAAAGTCAGAGGAAGGTTTGCACGAACTGTCTAAGTCTCTTCGATCGATCCAACCCCAGAATGGTGGTCCCCTAATTCAAACAGTGGTATCAATGTTCAGATCCCAAATCTTCAACTGAATCATCCATTTTTTATTTTCGGATTTTCCCTTATAAACCAACCAGCTATTGGGGTATACTAAGAATCAGCCTTTTTTGTTTGGTGAGTTTCAACCCCCAAAAAAAAAGGTGAAATCTTCAGTGTACCTCGACGACTTTCGGAGAGGCAGCCGCGGCAGCCAGTCTTGGCAGCTCTCGGAACCTCTGGCGCCGATGGAAATCCACCAATGGATTGGTTTTGTTGGAAAAAACATGAAAAAACGACAGGAAACCACGGTGTCTACTGTCAGTTCTCTTGGGGGTTCATGTAAAACTTCCCATCATCCAATTCTAAGACAGAGAAATCTGATGAGATCTGATGAAATCTGATGAAATCTGATGAAATCTGTGAAATGTATTTGTCTGCACGCCCGGTTGCACGTTGCAGATTCGTGCTCCCGGAGTATCAGTGCTCCCGAGATCAATAGGCCAATAGGCTCCTGGCTTCTTCCGGATTCGACCGGCGAAGTCAAAGATCCCATTGTCAGCCCTGTCAGCGCTGGCAGGTTAGATATGGCCATGAAAATTTACGAAAAACCGCCGAGGCCCCCACAATAACTTGTAGTCGTGCCAAGGCTGCTCATGAGGCCACTCGTACTGGCAAATCACGGCAGATCACCATGTCTTAAGCCATTTACAACTGATCTGCCAACATGTTTATTTTTTCATGCATAAGTGGAACTGCTGGATTCCAATATATTCAGAACCATGATTGGTACTCACAAATGCACAACCACCTGGTGTCAGCTAACACGATGAACATCCAGGTAAGCCGCTTCCCAAGAACCAAAAAGCATGGTTTTGTAACTACATCAACTACATACAATGCTGCTTGAAACCTGCAGCAAAAGCTTTGCATCAAACTCCGATCCACAAACGACTTGCATCAAACTCTCAGCAGGTTGAAGAACTAACCAATTGTCCTACCCAACTGTTGACAGCACCGAATTGGGCATGTCGGCCATGTATATACCGCCTTCATGTAGTCCCCGGGTGCTGAACACCAATGAACAGCATTAGGCCTCCAGCGCAGAGACACCAGCCTTTTTCCAATCAGGCACAATCATCACCAGGTCCTGGTTTCGGCACCAGGAGCTGGTTGTTTGAAATCCCCATTATCTTTGGGGAAAAGATCCACTATATTCTCTAGTGATATTATTTATATATATACATATGTATATATATATATATTAATAATATATATATATTATTTTATAAATATATATATATATATCCATGGCACAACTTGACATTCATACCCAAGTCCGTCCTTGCCCATCTTGGACCCGACCTGCAGAACATGAATTCACTCAGGCTAATTGAAAATCCTCGGGAATTCATAGAGTTGACACATGTTAACATGTGAGACGATCAACTACTGGAAAATTAATATACGTACATTGTATTCCAAGATTTGCAACTGTGGCACAAAAAATCAGCAAGAATGGATGGCAACACAACATATGACAAAATTGTCAATATGTCAAGCAATTCCTTAACGTGCCACGGCGAAAGTTTCAGGGCTACGCGCCTTGGTGTTCATGAAGGTGCGGATCCGGTCAAAAATTCCTGTCAAGCGACCCAGAAAAAGGCAGTGCTCTGTGGTTTTGACTTGCCCATAAGAAAACCCATAAAGGTTTCAAGACAAGTTATTTTTGTTCAGAAGGCTATGATCTTTTTCATGTGTCAATGTGAAATGAATTCAACAAAAAAACACCAGTCGGACCAAATGTTGTGGAGTTTGATGTACAGACCCAGAAAAGAAGGGCCTGAAAGTTCCAATAAAACAGCCTAGTTCGTCAACCAACCTGGGGTGTTGGGAGCAGCCCTGTCTGAGGTGTCAAATCTAGTGGAGACTGTCGCCGTTTGGTGGTCTCCAACTTGGTCTCGAGCTTTGATCCAAGAGGTGTCGAGGATTTTCCAGGCCATGATACGCCTGGCTGGCAAACACAGCTTTTGTAAGGAGAAATACAAATGAGGCTGAAAATGCTGCTTCTTTGGGGTTCCAAAGGAATAGGTCCATAGGTGATTCTTCAGCAATCTCCAAAATCGCTCTGCAACAATCAACAATGTGACCACATCTTTCAAGCTGGAAGGTGCCAAATGGGACAACCCGGATCCTGGATGGAAGAAGAGCCATGTTACCCGAGATACCAAGGTACCTGTCACACGTCCAAGTGTTTCTAGCTGTTTCTAGCCGCTGAGCCGGCCTTGCCCTTGGGCCTCTTGGTCCGCCCTGCCTCCTCACGCTAGCAATGTCAAGTAAGTGGAATGGCAGATTGTTCAGGGAAGGATAACGATGCATTTCAGTTGGGATATTTTGGGATTCTGTCCAACATTCTCCAACATTCTTGACCTGCTGCTTCAAACCGCCACTTTTCCACGGACTGGTCCGGTCCTGGTAGAACTGAGCGACCAGTTCAGGATCACGACCTCAGAACAAACCAGTCCGGAAGATGAGCCACGTACCTTTCATATCTTTCATCAAACCAATAGAGGAGTGGACGAGTTGACAAATGCACCATGGCACCCTGTCCAATCTCGTACTGGAAAAGGGCCTGCCAATCGACACTTCGCCGCATGAGAACCGAAATGCCATTGTGATACACAGACATAAACTGGCTTTGGCTAAAAATATGGTACTTTAAAATATCCCTAAAATCCATTGGTTGATCATAAGATATCATAAGTGTCCCTCTTTTCACATGGCCATTTGGTTAAAAAAAAAAACGCATCCCAGGCTCCCCCTTTTTGGCGCCTTGCGGTTGTCCTCCAGGATTCCCCAAGGTCCGAAGAACAGCTTCTGTTGGGCCACAGGGACCCCAGTGGCTGCTTCAATGAGCGATTTGAAGTTGCTCCTCAGCATTTTCGGGATGGGCTTGTGGAGATCCTGTGGAATATCAAGAATAGCTCCCCTGGTTATGGAGGATTTGTATATTAGATACTATTAGATACTTATGGATGTGTTATGGATAATTATGATGGATAATGATGGATGTTTTAAGTGAATACTTATGGCTCTAGGTCATGTCACGCATGGAATCCCCAGGTGTTCACCCCCAAAATCCATTGGATTTATGGACGTTTATCGGTTTATCCACCCAAATATGGTATTTAGATATGTATTTCATAGGTAACTTGATCCATCCCTGATGAGATCATGGGAGGATCATCTCAGGATCAAGATATGTCAAGGTCTGGAAGCAAGGGGGACAACAAAAAATAAATCGCAAAGGCTTTGAATTCAAGGCAAACGCTGTCCGCCCCAATGCTGAAATTTCGGGCTTGTCCAAACATTCCAACTTTCGAGATGTGGTCTATGTAATTTTTTATGTTTGGAAATAGATGTCCAAAGTGTGCTCACATATACAGTACTTCCATATTCGCTCTGCAAATACATCTTACAGGTCTCTCGGGTGTCGGCTCAATGTCACTTGCCAGAGTAAAGGTCGAACTCGCACATGGGCTCATTTGTGTCGTCTGGCCGGCGTACAGCACATATAGCACGTGCAGGAAAAGAGGAAGCATCAGGAAGAAGGTATTGCCACAGCAATGGAATGACTCCACACCCTTCAAATTTTCAGAGACTCCCAGCCTGCGAGATTGCAAACTCCGAGAACTTCGCAGTGCTTTGCACGTGATCCTCCAACTATGCTGTGGGAAGACTGGGAACCAGGCAGACTAGAGTCGCATTGGGTTTCCAGTGCACAGGGCCTCCCCCGTGTCCTTCTCGGACATGGAATTCATTGTCCTCTCCTGCTCCTGCAGCAATGAGACATCAACACCGAAACCAGTTGAGCTCAGGAGGTTCCACATTAAGAAGCACTTGAACGTCAAGAAGACCAATAGGGAAGACCAGTAGAAAGCAGCAGAAGAAGGACAGGTTCAGAAAACTCAATGTCAACTCCTTAGATGAAGATGAATAAGAACATTACTTTCCAGAAGAAATGCCTGAACAGCACACAATGTTTTGAGACATCTTCTGGGCGCCTGAGACATCTTCTGGGTCAGCAGGCTCCGCAACTCAGATCACAGTGAAGCGATGAGACATTCTTCCTACCCTGATGGGGAGTACTCTGAATGAAAAAGAGCTTCATGCATCTCTGTAAGGCTGAAAAACCACCCAAAGTAGATGGTAACACATGGTAACCCATACTAGGGCTATGGGCCATGGGGTTTGAAGCTTCATCAGATGGTTATCAACCGCATCATGGGATGGTCCAGTGCTTTGACTCCAGGGCTCCCAGACCGGGGTAGCTCTGCCACAGGTTTGGTCCACCTGACATGTCGTGACATGCCAAGAAAAGATGCTACGGCTGCTACGGGCCAAAGGAAACAACCCCAGTCCGCCTACTGTATCCGAATCAATCGCATAAGGGGTGGATTCTCCACTTTTCTTGTCTTCTTCATATAGATTCTTTGTGCCCTCCACCCTTATCTAAAAGTAGAGATGCATGGCTGCATGGAGAAGAACCGCTGCCGGGCACCTCACTCCTTCATGATGCGTGGATATGTCATGTCGGCATTATTCCCGGCAGTTTCCTGGATCAGAATGACTCCCAGCCTTCGCGGCTGTTGGACCCAGCGGAAGATTGGGTGGGACCTGGGCTGAAAGGCGCTCTGTCAGGCCCAAGCTGCACTTGGAACACACCTTTTTTCCTTCAAAATGTCTTGCCTAGCGCTTTCACAAACTTTTTTGCTCATAGAAAATCATGATGGACGTTTGCCCGGACCCCACGCCCGTCGCACGAAATGAGAATGTTTTCAAGAGGAGACCGAACGACGTATGCGCAGGGCCATTCACGGAGACTTGCCCGGAAGCTAGCTGGATGCCCGACCAAATCCATCGGTGGGCTGGTTGTTTTCGGCTATCGGCTGACTCGCCGCCCTGGAAGGGTTGTCATTTTTTGATATTTTTTGCGATTGTATACTTCGATGTTGTGTAATGGGGTGGGGCTGATGGAACATGTAGCTACGCTTGCGCATGTTGTTACCATACGTGAACATAGGTTTGATGTTACGACATGTTGCTACGCTTGCGCATGTTGTTACCATACGTGAACATAGGTTTGATATTACGCTGATGGCACGAACGACAACAATTTGTCAAAAGAACCCGAGTGACGTTCAACAACCGCTTTGTTGTCGCAGGCACCCAGCAACTTGACTCCACATGGAAAATTTTGAAAAAATGGAAGCCGATCGTTTTTGCCCAAAAAGATAAATCCTATGGGGGAACCAACGAAAATCGTTGGAAATGGGCGCGAAGCTTCCAGTGGAGGCATAATGCTTCCATCACTAGTTCAATCCTGGAAGAACTTCCCGCATGCTTGTGGCAGAGTTGAAAAAAGATGCACCCAAGCCGTAAGGACATGGAAATATTGATGAAGAACAATTTCCAAACTTGTTTTCCCAGTGTGATTAACAAAAAAAAACGATCGTTTCGCCTGCCCTAAATACATTTTTTTCAATTTTTGAATTGGCCCACGCAGTACAAAATGACACTTTCAAAATGCCTTCCCAACACGACAAATGTAAAAAAACGCTGGGTTTTAAGCATTTCACCTTGCGAATGATGAAAAAAAGCTGGTCGACAGTTCCAGGGCGGCGAGTCAGCCGATTCCCTTGTTTTCTTGCCGCTTCATCACTTGTCATAAGGGGGTGGCTCATTTATCCCCTTCCATCACTTGTCCTGGGGGCGCCTGATTTATCACCTTCCGTCACCTGTTCTAAAGGGCATGACTGATTTATTCCATTCCATCTGTTTTGCAAGGGGTGGCTCTACAGCCTTGACTCCTCAGATTGTGTGAAGAAGTTTATCACTAAACCCCTGGAAACTTTTGACAAGAATTGACAATTGGTATCATGACATCTTGGGCGAACGTGAGGTTCTGCGGCTAATATATAATCATAAAATATCATAAACGTTCCACCCGGACAACGTTCAGTTTGGCTACCTGCTATACAATCCTGATCCAGTTCCTGGAAGTCTGGCAGCTGAGTACCTCCTGGGTGCCTGGACCCAGAATGCCACTTTTCCCTTCGGCACGCGCACCCACACTTGGATCTGGCGCAGAGTCATGTTGCGAAGAAAGATTTTTTGGAACCGCCTACAAGGTGGTGCCCAAGTTCCTTACATTGGTTTAGAAATTGCTGCAAATAACTCCAACTTCAAACTTCACTAGGCTAAAAATATTACTGTAGATATATCATGGGTTTATATCATGATATATCCCTACTTAACTGGGATTTACAAACCCACGTACAACTGGAGGCAATACATCACAGCGCCACTCTGTCATCTTGTGCAGCACCATGTCTTCGACCACTCAGACGCACGGGTATGGGGTCCTGCTCTCCACGCTGTGATACCACCCATTTATGGTCAAATTGTGGACGGTTTATGGCCTTGCTTTACTCGCATAAAAAACGATTTGTCGAAAAAGGCTACCCCAAATCAGAACCAGGTCTGAGCTGCTAAAAAAAACTGCGAAAAAGGCCTGTTTCGATTCCCAGATTCGTTGCTCCAAAAAGATCGAAAGGTGCCATGCTTCAAGGCGAGGGATGGCACATCTCATGGTTATTTTGGACGGTATGATAAGTATGATACACTTCTTTCTCATCATGGGGCCAAGCATACCAAAATAGCAAATGTCATCCTGCAAGTTGAATCGTCTGGAATGGTAGATTGGTTGTAAAACGTGGAGGAGAACATTCGACCGCCAAAAACGGGTACGAATGTCCCACTGAAGCCCTCCCGCCCAGAACCACCGTATCGGTGGCACTGCCCCCCGCTCCTGCCGTGGCAAGTTGTGCTGCCGAATACGAACACCCCAAGCTGGCGGAGGTGGGGCAGGTTGGTAAGTCAAAATGCTAGAGCTAGAGATATTTCAGAGATACTGACATCCTGTACCCTCCCCAGTGTGAACCAACTTTCACCTGTCCAGGTTTTCCAGAGAACTTGAAGTTGGGTTTTTTCCCATTTATAGATGATTTTCCATATTTTCCCATTTAAAGATCCTTAGTTTGGCCCATTTGCGGTGGATTTCCCGGACGAGTTTGTCACTGCCAAGTCGTCCCTGAGGGCCAAGACATTTTCCCTGGCGGCACGCCAAGGGTGACCTGACCGGCGCCGGTACCAAGGCATAGCAGGAAGCTTTTAAGATCACCTGGATTCACGCTGGAAAAAATGGCTGGATCTGGCCAAAAACTTGCCTGCTTTGACTGTATTCAGAAAATCAGGTCTCTCTCGGTTCAAACGAGCGAATCGAAACTCGTTTTAGCAATTTGCAATTGGAGAAACAACAAACTCATCAAATCAGGATCCCATAGCAGCCTTGTCCCCCAAAGCCGGCCTCTTGGTGGTGAAGCGCGAGGAGGTTGACCTGATGATCCACTTGCTGAAAAAGAGAAGTCACATAGTGACATAATGTATAATGTAGGAACAACCAATAAAATATGTGTATACAGTATACATATATTTTTATACTGTACTCATTACATCCTGATATCCCCAGTATATCCCCATATTCGATTATCTCCCCGAAACAGTGCCAACATTCATATCACAACACTTGACCCTGAGGAAAGAGTTACTCGTGCCCACGGCCAGTCCAATATCCTACTGCATGATTGATAGACATCTTCAGTGAAGTCCAACGAAGGCAAGATAGGCAAGTCCATTTAAACGAGAGCAAGTCAAACACAAGGATTTATCTAGGCAATCCATCTTCAGTGACGTCCTTTCTCTATGACAGCGTTCGCTGTCGGACTTACACCGGAACACCTGTATCAGTGCAAATGACTCAGCCTCTTGCCAAGTTCGTCTGACAGAAATTGGCTTACTGAAGCGTTCAAACAATATGACCATTTCAGATGAACACATGAAAAAAATGCAGAACAATGTTCTGGCGATTTCTGGCGCATTATTAAACCCATCCCAAAAACTCCAAAAATATCTGCCAATCAGGATCATGGTCTCAATTCTGGAAAGTACAAGGATTTGAAATCACACACCAATAAATAATGAATGCAGCCCACCTTTAATGACAACTGTGGAAATCTCATCTTTGTTGACGAGATTTCAATGAAACCACGACCCTCTTATGATCAGAATCTGGGTCCAGCACCGTTGACACCGCTCTGTTGAAGATGTCGAAGCCATGAAGGTCCGACGCGAGGTCTCAAGAAACACGACGCGCGAACTTTGGACATAGCCGAGCCGCAAATGAGCACTGGGTGGGATGATCTTGGGATTATAATAGGATTCTTAGTTGGCGGAAATTATACTTAAAATAAACCCTCTGTCATTACGTGCAGCAGTGCCATGAAAGAATCCCATTCTTTAAACCTGGCACGTTTCGAAACAGGTTTGTAGCGGGTTTCAACCTGCGCTGAGAGTCCAGCCAAATCTGGGAGATGTGTCGATCCTGGAGATTTATCCTCAGAGCATCAAGTGCGTCGATCCTCTTCGCTCGAAAATAAGAACATCTACCGCTCGAAAATCATCAAATACCTCCTAAAGGTCCTAAACATTCCTAAACCATATCACTGATGGGCCTGTGAGTTCGCCGTTTGTTCGATGGTACACCCTCTAATTGGACTTCGTGGAACAATCAAGTTCCTCACTTGCAATGAAATCACTTTTTAATACCGGTGGAAGGTCGATAGCTGATGAATCCTAAACATTGGAAACGTTCTGCTGGATTATATATACACATTTGTCCAAGGAACGAGACTGTAACATGTGTATGCAATGTGCATCATGTACACATGTACGCATACAATATATATATATATTGCATATATACATATATATATACATATATATAATTATATATACACATACATACACATGTAGACTGCATATAATTACATGTTCGTCTTCCAGAGGACTATCACATAATTCGCAAAAGAAGGGCGCTCCTGTGACATCTGCGAGGTGCTGAAGAACTCCGACCTCGGCAGTTTCGCCAAATTTTGCATCGCTGGTTGACATGGCTATCTGCCAAGCCCGTATGCATACATAATCATATATATTAGTTGCCCAATCATTTGATTAAGTTTCATTATTTGATTTTGATTATCAATTCATATGTGCTTTTATGTATTTGTCGATATATCTATCCCTTTATCTGTATATTAATCGATTTATCATTCCAATGCAAATGTTCATTTGTCTATACCTATTCATCTGTTGATCTATTGATCTACTGATCGATTAGTCTATTGATCGATTTATCTATGGATCGATTTTGTTATTTTTTCATTTTTGCTTGTGTAGTTAGTATCATGGAAGAGTGGTTAGGGGGCTATGGGGGGGGTTATGAGCATATCATTTAAGGTCCTGATAAGGCTGGGTAATGATCAGCCCTTATTAAGGCCTTACTAAGGTCTTATCAAGCCTGTTTAAGGGCTTATTAAGGCATATAAAGGGTTTATCCTTTAAGGCCTTAGTAAGGTATTATTCCTCATGGATAGCTGAACTTCCTTATCCAGTGCTTATCCAAATGGCTGGATAATGTGTATGTGTATATATATATTATAAATATATAGACTGTTTATAAACATGTCATTGGAGAGAGAGATGCATCTTGTTCAAACTGCACATTTACCGAGCTCCCAACAACGGGCTGTTGGTCACACTCATGTCCGGACGTCCAACCTGGGAGCTTTAAGATTGAAAATTGGTGATTGGGTTGAACACTTTTATCTGTGGATAGAGATGTGAGCTCTGAATATATTTTTTGGTGGATAGGATAGATGGATGGATGGACGGACATACAAATAGTTAGACAGGTAACTATAAATCTATAGATGGCGAGAGAAAAAAAGAGAGGCAAACAAGCAGATAGAGATAAATAGACAGTTAGATACGTGTTGTCGACAAACACAGAAATAGACAGGTAGATAGGTAAAATAAGTCGATCGAGAGACAGATAGATAGGCCGATATAACTGATATAACATACAAAAATTGATATGTGTTTGTACATTGGACAACGGGCCATCCCATTCGCGGTCTCCACCATGGCACCCGGAATCGATCCCCGGCAAGGGAGACTGTGGAGACGAAATCATGGTGTCGATCTATCGGCAAGTCCTTTCGTATCGAAATTTCAAGCAGCCAGGATTGTGTCAAAGGAAAGAAACGAAACAAATGTCACATTCAATTCCAAATGGACATGTTGGGTGGTATTGTGAAATGCATCCCATACACTTCAGATACAAACAGGATTCCACCACTTGCGGTACCATTGCAATCCGTTGCGTGGTTGCCTCCCCAAACATCCTTTACAAAATTACGTTGCTGCCAACACGTGCGACGACATGTTGATGCTATTATATGTTGTAAGATGCAACTGGATGGGATTACACATTGGAAGACCCAATCCATACATGTAACAATGTAGCCTGTATAAACACGCAACAATGTCAAATTAATACATTCAGACATAGGACAACAACCATGAAGGAACCCTCATATTTTGTAATAAAAAGGTGTCTCCTGCATGGCCCAACTGGCCGCACAATGGTCCTCCTCCGGTGCATCCGACATGAAAGTGGGTTCCACAGGAAGCCAACTAGAAATCTACAACAAAACAAAACAACATTGTCACAAACTGTTTGGCAAATAGACTGTTGGTTGGAGTTCTGGTATTATTCCGTTCCATGTGCCAGATTCTTATCAAAATTGTGGCATGTTTGTTTAAATGTTGTTTGAACACTAAACATAGCACGCAAACACATGGGTGGCCTCGGACTAACAATTGATTCAACAAACCAAGTTGGCGCCGAACACAAAAAATGTAGCAAACCTAAGGCCCAAAAAGCTCGCATTTGGAGCAAAATAAAAGCAAAAACGTGTGTTTCAAAGCAAGCCTGTCCCAGGATGTGTACAAGAACCGGTTCAACCTACCCATGTGTTTCCATTTTTTTCAATGAACCATGTGCAACATGGAAGCCAAGTCGGGGTTTCTGACACAAAATTCCAAATTCAAAAAACATCACGGTGTCAGTTTCCAACTGAATTTCCAGCAACATCCGTCTCCAACACTGCAAGCATCAAAACACTGCACGGCAACTCTGTTTTATTTGGGACTTGGAAACCTCATAGGTTGAAAGTGACATGAAATTGCTATGGCATGGGGTGGTGACCGTTGGCCACATGTCTAACACCCTGCCTTTTACACCAGTTGTGCTGGTATTTTCGTCGGCATCAAACAAATAAATTCCTCGACATGCCCATCACCTTCATCTTCATGCGGTGGGTCTCCAACATACTCCACAACCATGCGTCCCTTTCCACCGCGTTTTCCTTTGGCTGCTGGCATCGAAGGAGGGACTTCTGATGACGATTCAACTGCTCCGTCACATAGTGCTCCAGCAGTCTCCTCAGTCACCATAGGCGGGGAACGATCGTCATGAACTTCTCCACCGCTCTCTTCCTCCCCTTCTCCTGTTAAGTAGTAAAGTCTGTATATATACCCCCTACATGTGCGCAAACCTCATATCACAAACCTGCACCAAACTATCTCCGCGTAAACCCGTATAAATTGTAACCAAGTGTGGTCTCTTTGTGTGTGGGCATTTTTGGCAGTTGAGACTATATGGGAACTATATGGAATTTTATAGAAACTATATAGAAACTATATGGGAATTTCAGGGGGAAAATAGGCCACTTGTATTAAGAGACCATATTATAATCATGTTGTTTTCATAGTATGGTACGGGATGGTGATTATTGTGAAAGGTTACAAATAGTATAATTAAACATAGGCATAAAATCAAATTCAAATTCATGATTCATGATTCATGATTGCAATACACACCCCGAAAACAATGCGAAAAAACAATGAAAAAACAATATATACATATATATATATATAGCTGCTCAAGCGCCTCTTTCACTCCTGCCATATTCTGGGTTTGTCCTCTCTGCGTAGCACGTGTGTGCCTCGCTACCACTTCCTCCCAGCTTTTCCCGGGGGGTAGGGTTTGGGTCAGCTTGAGTGCCAGTCATTCATTGTTGCATTCTCAGCTGCATCCAGCTGCTCAAGCGCCTCTTTCACTCCTGCCATATTCTGGGCTTGTCCTCTCTGCGTAGCACGTGTGTGCCTCGCTACCACTTCCTCCCAGCTTTTCCCAACATTTCCATCTGCTTCATTCTGTTGAAAAAAAATAATGCCAGGATTCCGCCGGAACTTTCGCCTTGACTAGCACCTGCATGCGTGCTAGAAGACCAGGAAAGGCTGAGGCTAAGGCCAGCACTCGAGCCTTCAACGCACTGGGGAGTTGAGGAAAATAAACTGTAGCAGCTATCTCCTGAAGGTAAACTTCCATGGTCCTTGGTGCAATCCAACGACCCCTTCTTCTCACCAGCTCTGAGTCTTCTGTCAGCATTAAAAGGTATGTTGCTCCTCCTCCGCGGAGGGAGCCTAGGTCAAGGCCTCTGTTGATGCCATTTGAATCATATGGCAGCCCAATCTCACGAAGGATTTGTCGGAACCTCGTTCGCAGCAGCTGTCCGGAAAAAGGCCAAAGCTTTTCATCAGCGCGCTTTGATCCAAATGCCAGTGACACCAGTTGAACCAGATCTTCCGGATCAAGTTTCGACATCTGATGCCTCGCAGCTTTGAAACGTGTTTTTGGTTCTTTGACCCTCAGGAAAATGGAACAACTAGTGTAACCCACATCCTGAGGCAGCACAAGGTCACGTCTGCAAGATTGTAGCACCTCTCCAATGCGACAAATTGCACCCCACGATAAGGCTATCGATCCAGCAACCCATGGCCAGCCCCATAGGATGCTCACCGACAGAATTGCCAGAAGAATCTGAAACGGACATGCCAGGTGATGGCCCCCTGGCTCTTCGCGTTGCCAGCTAAAAGCCAGATCCCAAGCACCCGTCAGAAGCCGCCGAATCGTGGGTTTCGCAGCAGCCACCGCGTTGACCGTCTCCACATAGTGATTGTATGGTCTGCCTGATGCATACAACTCCCGTCCATAGCTGACTAGCTGTGTCACCATCTTTTCGGGCTCTCTGTATGACAGTTCCAACAGCGAAGGAAAATTCTCGCCTTTGCCAGCCAACCATTCCGCAAAGCACTCCAGCAACCGCTCGCGGTTTGTCCGAGCAACCTGCTCGACAGGTCTTCCACTTTGCAACGGTCGCGACATGCGTTTGGCAGCTCTTGCAAGGTCATCTTTGTTGCGGACCAGATTTCCATGGCTCACTGGGGCTACAGCGACGCTACTAAGCAAAATCCACACTACGAAAAATAGGGGACTACACCTAGGACCCTCGCCAGGGAAACCGAGAGAGGCATCAAAGTCCAAGAGATGTTGATAGAGGTAAGCAGGAGGCAGGCTAGAGCTTTGACGGTGGTGAGGCAAGCTCAAAGCAGCAAAAGGGAGATGGTGTTTGGCCATAAGTCCAAGGCACAGGGAAATCCAATTGCTTGCCCATCTCTTCATGGTTGGTAGCTCTGCTGCTTTAAAAACCTCCTCCTCTGACATCTGGTCAAACCATGATGATCCTTCATACCTGTCACGGACTCTAGCATTTCTTGTAGGATCATCAGCAACATTCACGTGTTGGCAGGAAATGAACAGCCAGCATCATGTGAAATGCAAAGGAAATTGCCATGATCTTTCGGAGAAGTGGGATCAGGGCTGCTGCTGAAGATCGCCCCTTGGCGGTGGCTCTTGCTGAAACATGAGAGTCCATCAGCAAACTCACTCTCCCGCCTCCCTTTCTCGCAGCTTGTTTGACCGCTTGAAAAACGCTGGCTAACTCCAAAACGTTGATGTGAGATTTTCCTGTCTAACTTGCAGTTGGCCACGTTGAAGCATGCAAACTCAGAGCAATGCACTCTGTTTTCAACTGGGGCAGCGCAGACTGGCTAGGCTGCGGGTTGGCCTAGGAAGGTGAAAAGGGATGGGAAAGAGTCCAGCAGTTGCTGGGGGTGGGCGCTTTTCAACTTCTTAAAATTAACGGCGGACCCACCGCTCCCACCCTCTTGAGAAAGAAAAGACTTCAGTCATTGAACGTGACCCGAAATCCAAGATTTCTTAACTGCATGGTGAGACAATTCGAAGACTAAAGTCTGCTTCATCGTCTAACTTGCAGTTGGCCACGTTGAAGCATGCAAACTCAGAGCAATGCACTCTGTTTTCAACTGGGGCAGCGCAGACTGGCTTCCCCCATCATCTCTGTGTTGCCGCAGTCAGGAAATTCAGTAAGTTGTCGAACCACGCTACTGCAGCACTTGACTCATCCATGCAAGGAGGCAGCAAAGGGTGTGATGCATTGCGAGATGGATAGTCGCTGACATTCGCTTCTGTCGGCACTCGTGCGTACCAGGTACAAAGGTTGTTCGATGCCTCACGCTCAAGATGGTATCTCATCAAGGCAGAGGCATGGGAACTCAAGCAAGCTCCTTTGATCAGTGAAAACCTGGCACTGTCGTTGTCACCAAAACAAATTTGTAAACCGTCCTTCATTTTGTCAGACCAGAAATCCAAAGCCAGAATTGATGCAGCCAACTCCAACTCATAAATGATCGTTTGCTTGATATCCGCTCCAAAATGCTGGCACATCGACGGCTGTAAAGGAAATCCAAACCAGCCCACGCACTCGCAAGATTCATTGAAGATAGCTGCACCTATGCCACCCTCCTTGAGGTCCGGCTCGTAAGCCGCATCCGAGAAGACAAACCATTGTTGCACCGCCTTTGCAGAGACGATGCGTGGTATGCCAAGGGATAACCTTTTCATCATCACTTGAAGTCCAAAGGCAAGCTCGGGAGAAAGCTTTGCAGACCTGCTGTACGCATGTTCCGACAACTGCTTCAGCACCAGGAGGCCTAGGCGGCCATGTAGAAAGGAATCTGCAAAGCCCAGTTTGCCACGCAAGATAAGTGCATCCTGCTTACATAATTCTCCAGCTTGTAAAGTTGAAACAATCTGTGCTTGCAGATCTTGGATTCTTTGCTCCGTGTTGCGCACTGCAAGCACCCTTTCACCTGAGCTCGCCAAATCAAATTGTACCCCAAGGGCTTTGCAAACTGTCCCAAAGGCTGTGGCTTTTTTGCCGTCCATATCAAACCTCCAACCTGTCAACATGAAAACCAACTCCATGGAGTTTTTTGCAGACTCAACGCTTCCCGGTAACGACGCCAGAATATAGTCGTCATAGAAGTTCGTCGTCAGGAGAAATAACTGACGTGTGCAAATAGTGTACAGCATCCTGGCCAGTCTAAGGAAGCTGTACACACTATGCGTCGCTCCGAACGGCAAAGTGACAAGCTGGTATGTTTCAGGTTGATCTGTTTCGCAATTGTAAATGCAAAAGTATGAGAAGCGCAAATGATCTTCTCTGATTGGTACCTGCCTGTACGCACTTTTGAGGTCGTACGTTTTCGCAACCAGGGCACTTGCCTTTGACTCATCATTGCACCTTCTGAAGAATTCCCTGATGACTGCTGCGAAAGTATCCACCATATGCAAATCAACCTTGTTGTGTATTGATGCAGTGTCGTTGATACCAGAGATCGAAAAATCGTCGATCATTCTTGTCTTTGTCTTCTGGACCAGCGGAAACCACTCCACCTTCCGGAATGGAGTCCAGGGGCCCTATGGCCCAACCTCGCTTCACTTCCTCCCTTGTTTCGTAAAGGAGCTGCCGATCCACCTCTAAGTCACCTGAGCTCTTACAAACAGCCAGCACTGCTTTGTTTCTCATTGGCGCCTCTTTCAGTAACTGTGACATTGTAAGCATGCAAGGCTTGTAGAGCTCCTCAAAGGCATCACTCCTGGGTATTTCACCCGCCAAAGGTGATCCATGTCGTAGCAAGTCCAGCACGCCAGAGTCTTCGTACTGCATTTCAGCTAGGATCTCATCAGTTAATAAGATCCTCTTGCCACAAGTGGCTTGCCTGACATGTGGGGGACGCACAGCCGCATCTAAATGCTCAGCCTGTTCCAACTCCTTTGCCCTTTTCAACCATTTACGACACCAGCCCATTCTATATTGAACCAAGGTTTCTTCGCTCCAAACCATGTGTTTGTCCAGAGCCAGTTGCAAATCCTTTGGAACCAAGAAACTGTGCTTTGAAGGGTGGCCCATCACCACTGCTTTGCGCAAAAACTGTTCACAATCCCACGGCAAACCAAAAACTGCTTTGAACGCCCAAAACTCATCACTGTCCACACGCAAAGACTCACCTGCTACCCCCATGTCAGAGTCTGCAGCGAAACATCCACGCAAAAAGCGTGAATGCTTTGGCACAAGGACTGCTTGTTGTTGTTCAGTCCGCAGCTGAATTGAAGTTGAGAGCTTTCCCATAAGACCACATGGAATGTCAGCAGGCTGTTTAGCGTAGAAAACGGCTGTCTGTTGAAAGTCGGGAACCAAATGTGGGACTTTGGCACCTCTTGGTTGGCGACCTGCTGCAATCTGTGCATTCTTTACTGAAAGTAAAGGATGGTCGACGATGTCGTGCAAACAGTTTGGTCGCAATTGCACGCCTTTGGTTGCAGCCACTTGCAACACCACTTGTACCAAAGCTATGCAGAGCTTTCGAGGGTACTGGGATTCTTCTGCTGTTGCCCACATTTTTTGGCCTTGTGCATTAGTTGTGAATCCCCAACCAAGGTGTTTGTGAGTGCGGTCGCAAACAACGTCCATCTGACAAATTTCAGGAAAGGTGGCAATGATCCTTGTCCACTTGTCCCGCATTGATCCATACATGCACGCCTGAAAATCTGTAGCAAAAAGTGAATGAGCTCGCAAGAGATCCAGCACAAAGGGTATTACCCAAAGATAAGAGCCACGTGGATTCTCCATGGTGGCCAAAATACCTCGTCTCAAGCACATTGCAAAAAGATGGCAAGTGTACCTGAACAGCTCATTTGCAATTTCAACCCTCCGGCGATCTACTGGTCCAAGCGTAGGTAATCCCATTGGATGTTCCAGAGACCTCAAAGGTTGAGGTGCAGCTGTCAGTTCGGGTCGGGGTATCTCCCGTGCCCTGCTCGCCGTTCCACATACCGGTGCAAAGTGCACCCAAAGCAAAAGAGGTGAAGAAAGCCACTCTTCTAAGAGCTCCCTGTCAGCTGCTTGCATCAAATCTAACTGATAGATTGTACTTCTTGAATTTTGCTTTCGAACCTTGTCGACTGCAATGCCACCAAGTCCATACTGCTTAGCCACTGACGTGAGGACAGCTCCACCAGCAAACACTTCAATCATGAATAACTGCTCAATGTGAAGCCCCTTGAAGTCCTTCTGCACATCAGGACCTAGTCACTTGTGCTGTTGCAACGAGTGCGGTTGTTGGCACCGCGGTTCTGCACAGACATGCAATCCTTTTGGGCACCTATCGCCCGGTTTCACCGTTGATGACTGATCGCAGCCAGCAGTTGTATTGAAAGCAAAACAAATTGGCTCATTTGCAGCAGTCTTGTAGTATTTTCCTCGTAATTCTTGGGGCATAGGAGGTGCCTTTCCTTTGCTCCCTGCCTTTCCCTTTGACTTGCCTCCATGTGACTTTCCACCTGAGGCCTGGTAAGGAGCAGGCCTGGATGGTGCTGCAGCTGTGCTCTGTATTGGTTTTGCCAAAGGGGCAAGGTACAACATGATTGCAGGGTCCAACTTCAAAGCTAGCAAGGCTTCCCCAAGCGGGAATGTTCCATCTGCTGCCTCACGTGTTGTCACACCCAACGTTGCAAGCCTTGCCCAAGCAGCTTTGTCACAACTCACAACTTGTGACAAGTTTGCACGACTGTAACCTGGAGGAACTTCACGGTGAGTGATTCAAAGAGAAACGTCACCCAGGCATTGTGTTGCTGAAATGACATCACTCGTGCAAAAGCTAAGGCAACGGCCCTCCTGCTCAATGCATAGTGCAGCTTTATCTCAGAGTCAGTCTGGCAAGTCAACTTGTCATCCTGTTTAAGGATCAATGACCCTTTCTCCAACGTGAGCTCACGGGCTTTTGGTGTGCCCTGAACCTCCATACTTCGTGAAATGCAAATTGCTGGCTCCAGCCATTTGACATTGTTGCTATCAAAAACAGCACAGCACTTGTCCAGCAAACTGTGGGAAGGTTCAAGCTCACCACTAATTTCAAGTCCTCTGAGATCCTGACGGAGCCTTTCCATTCGCTGTGTACGTTCAGCGAAAGCAACTTTTCTGGGTTGCGTTTCATCACTCTGATCAATCTGTTGTCTCAACGTTGCAACCAGGTATGTATGAGCCTCAAAACCAAGCCTCTTCAAAGCTGCAGTCTCTGCTAAGGTCGGTGCACGCGTATTCTGCAAGAAATCTGTGACTTCTTGGTTTTGTATTGGCTGTCCAGGCTGTCCAATCACAAATTGTAGAAGGTACACAACCTTCGAAACCCTTGGGTCAGCGTCCAGGACGTCGTCCTTAACTCACTAGAACCGTCCACGCTACCAAGTCAGCCACTCCCAGAGCTCAGCCACTTTTACACACAAGCAACAGAAACAAGATGTTTGCTCATGTCGCTATGGTTCTTGTTGGTGTGTCACGCCTTGACACAAAATGATGCGGAGTCGCCAGTCAGCATCTTTCTGCTAACTTTCACAAAAGCGATCAAAAACACATGTCCTCACAAAAGGTCTTTACATCAAGACATGGTTTGTTTGTTTAAATAAGTTTGAGTGTTTGAAAAACGTTGAAACATTTCAAGCACCAAAACATGATTCATGATGTCTCCCTCAGATCTGTTAGCAACTCCAGTTCTGAATGCCTTTCAGAACGTTGCTCTCTATCATCATTGAGAGACAAAACACACTACTCTTCTCCAATCAATGTCAAACAAAGTTCCTTCTTCCGAAGTCACAAAATGAATTCTACGATCTTCTCACGATTCCTTCGTGCACTTCGATTCTGATTCTGCCGGCAAAACTAAAGCAAAACATATGGAAAATGGTTTGATTTTCCATGTCACTATACAAATTCAAATCCTCACGATGTTCTCCGTGCAATCAAAGTACTCAAAGAAGACGAAAAGTATATCGTTGTTGGGTTTCGTCATCTCCAATAAAACGTGCAAAACATGAAACGTGCAAATACGATGTCAACCATCACGGTTGAGCTCATCATCAAGATGAAAACCAAATTCACTTCTTCCAATGCAGAAAAGACCAATGGATTCATCTCACCACAGATGTCGGAAATTTTCACACCCCCTTTTGAGATGAACTCCATTCCATGTATAGCTGTAACCCATTCAGACTTCAGCACATATCGCCCAAGCTCGATAGGTCAATACATATAGTACGAATTGTCCCGTTGTCCACCATCCAATGAACAACCAGCTCATAGTCTTTCCTCGCCTTTGCACCAATGAGGATACGCTCAATCACCCAACTGCCTCTGCACTGAAGTTCCAGTGAAGCAACCCTTTGGCTTTCCAACCTTTCCAGAGTCCTCCACAACCTTGCATGCGCAGAGAAAAGAATACCAATCCCTTGCAATTGGACTTGTACTCTTGTTTCCCAGGTGATTCATACTCCATTTGCAATATCCGGCCATCTCATCATCGACATATACCTCACGGTATGTTTTGCCTTCATTGGCAAACTTTCCAAACGCAAACTTCGTTCTGCTCCAATCTCGAAAACTCATGCCTTCAGGCACCAAATCAGCAGTAAGCTGATCAAGGACCTTGTCGGCGATCCCAGGAAAGATTGGGATAGGCATCACAGGCAACTGTGCATTCAAAGGTTCAGCTGCCGAAGAAATCACATCGAATTCATCATCATCCAGAGCCTCACGAAGTCGCTTGCTTCCATCTGTCATTGCTCCTTGACTCTCCAAAGGAGTCAAAATACTGGATCCGGCTGCATAGCCTGACCCTGAATTCCCACTGTTCCACTTCTTCTGAAGAAGAGCAAGCAAAGCTTTCTCATCCTCATCTGTCCATCCAGACTTGGCCATGGCTACAAACCAAACCGCGTCCGGTAGTGAAAAAACACTAGACCGTGGCTAAACTCTTGGGAGCAATCAACCTAGAACGTGAAACGAAGTGTCGAACCGCCATCACAAGTGTGATAGGATCAGTGGCCTTTCA